CCCCATAACATCTGCCTTTGCCGAGTCCTTTGCCGAGTTATTTGCTGAGTCCTTTGCCGTAATATTTCTACTCATCCTTATTTATCATTACGTCTTAACATTTGGCATGAAGTACAAAAATATATACTGTATTCTCGACGCTATAAGAGTATATAAGCTTGGTCAATATTATTTTACCATTTTATTCAATAGAAAATATTTGACTCTACCTGTAAAGTGTAATAAGTATATTACCGGTATGTAGTTATTTTGGATTGATCAATAATTAGACAAAACCGTTTAATATAAGCATTTTTACTGCGTAATTTTCTATTTTTTTCTATAACACTGTATCTTTTATATTGTTGTAATATTTTTGTATTGCCGTAAATTTTTATATTGTCGTCACAAAGTTACGGCACATGTCAGATATTATGACCTACGTCGTTACGACACTTTGCCGTAACTTAGTTACGAATAAAAATGGTTATATTAAACGGTTTTTTTTTAATTTAATTATTGATCGATCCAAGAATTTATCATAATAACTTATATATAATAACAACGATAATAACTACATAATATACTTATTACACTTTACGGGGTAGAGTCAAATATTTTATATTGAATAAAACGGTAAAATAATATTGACTAAGCTTATATGTCCACCTTGTAGCGTCAAGAATATTAGATAGATTTTTGTACTTCATGTCAAATATTAAGAGTAACGGTAAATAAAGTATTACGAGGACAAGTAAAAATATTACGGAAAAGGACTCGGCAAAGACAGATGTTACGATATAAGTCAGACGTAAGTTAGAAGTTACTATGTGCAAATCAGTTATTGCGCAAAAATATATCTGATATTAATATATTAATATTCGAATAGTGCTGTACCAGTTGGCTATTAATATTATAAACGTAATAATTTGTATAATAAAGGCTATTTATTTGAGAAAATACTCTAACCATTATATTCTATCTTCTTCAAAATAGAGTAAAATCCTACTGTAGCATTATTTGAATAATGAGATTGAAGGTGAAAATGACGAATTTAGAACTTGAAAAAGAATCATCATGATTAATAAAATTCCTGTGGTTTTTACCTAAGGTATTTTTAAGTCTTACAGAGCATATACAACATTTGTTGAGCCACAAATTTTTGTTTTAACGTATTATAAATGTAATCAAAACGATTTTTACGAATATCACTGAAAATAAATACATGCAAATATTAAACAAAAAATTTCTTCACGGAACATCTAATGAGATTATGTGATTATAGCATACCCAGAACTTATTGCCACTACAACTGCTAACATGATCGTAATTCCCTGCTAGTAGCATTGCATCCCATTATACTTTTTCCAATAAATAGGGTTTGTGACTTAAGAATAGATGAGTTCGTGATCCTAACAGTGGTAGTTTATGAATTAACAATGTGTGGATTTGTGATCTTAATAATACAGTAATAGATAGGTTTTAGTGAACATCATTATTTTAAAATCGGTATATTCACGATTTTAATAGAAGTATTTCAATATCGAATTTGCTTGAAATCTTAATGGAGGTAAGTTCATGATATCTACCGTGCAATTTATGTATTAAACTTTATAAGTGTTTAATAATTTAATAATTGTTGTTGGTAAATAGTAATTTTTAAAAACCATAAAAGGACATACCACCAAACTAGATTCACCATTTTTTAACACTGTTCATCAACGAACTCCGTTTAATCATGTATTCATTGCTTTAAATTAAACCTTTCTTTGGATTTGACTTACAAAATGTTAAAGCACACGATTGAGAATTATTAATAGCAGCAGTTTAAAGTAAAAACTTGTTAAATACTTATTTTAAAGTCCGTTGTAAAACACATTTACAAGGATAAAACTACCACAGCGTAACTAGCATAATTAAAAGTATTCCGATTTTTTATTTTTACTATGGCTTGCGAAATATTTTCAACATTTTCATATTAAACATTTTTAAGACTCAATAAACTAAGAATGCAACAAATTTTCATTAAACGAACTATCTGAATATTCGCACAATTTTTGAATGAAGATTTAAAATAAGAAATTAAATTACATCTGATATTGATTGTTCTTTTTTTCAAAAGTATTCATAATAAAATTCTATTCATCGGTACTTGAACTGCAATATTAATCATCATTTAGAAATTGGAATCAATGAGTTTCGAGTACTTTAAAAAAATTTAATGGGATATTAAGTTTATTAATTGTACTATTAAATTATTTAACATAAGCTTGAAATTCTTTCATATTACATTTTTATTTTAGGAATTGCGATTCATTTCACTTAAAATTTGAAAATGGTGTTTTTGTGAAGACTACCATATTAGGTTTCTTTGGCATTTTTATTGATTATTATGATTGATAGAGTCAAAGTGCAGGCAAACCCCGAATCGGTTTGTATTTCTAATTTCTGTTTGTTAGAACCATTAATAATAGTTTCCTCTATATTGAATGTTGGATCCTCACAAGCCGAAATATTAATACATTAGGTTCGTCCTCTTCGTTATTAAAAGAGAATTCTACGAGAAAATTGATATTTAAAGAATTTATCCCTATCAAATACAGTTAAAATTTTAACTTTAAACCGCTTCCACTCTCTAGTTATCGTTTTCAGCAAGTCAATGCAAGGACCATTTCAATTGATCGTAAATATCCTCGATCACTAGTAATCATATTAAGAGAACAACCTAAATTTTAGCAAGGCTTACAAAAAGTGGACTATAATTTTATTATTTTGCGTGATTTATTTTCAAATTCAAATTTATATAATAGTTAGATTCAAATATTCAAGCTATCTTAACCGTTCCTGTCTTCTAGTTAGGCCATATCAATTTGATTACTTAACTAATTCTTCTATAACTCGACCATTAAGTATATGGTTTTTCTAACACCGTACATCTCTATTACAAGTTCTACGATATGATCTATTACAAGTTCTTCTACGATATGTTTTATTACAAGTTCTTCTATGATATTTTAAACACATCTCTATTGCAAGTTCTTCTAATGATATGTTAAACATATCTCTATTACAAGTTCTTCTATGATATGTTAAACAACAGTCAAATAGTTTGCTTATCGCTATATTCTGACAGGTATACCTAAGAAGCTCGCTATCTGGCCAAATCATATAATTATAGTAGTGCAACCCCTTTTTCAATATCTCCCCTTGCAAAATACCCGGTGCACATAATAATTAAATATGGGTTTTTTAAAATTTTTAGACTGCTTATTGTAAATGCAGAATATGTATACATTTGAAAATTTTCTTTACAGCCCCGTTACAGAATAATATACCCGGGTTTTTTGTAAGTTTTTTTTAATGGGTGTTTTGTATTAGACCCCGGGTCTTTGGTCAGTAAAACAAACTTATACTAATATGTAGCTATTTCCGGCCTTCATTGACGCCAACAAAATAATCAGTGTAATAAAGTACCTTGATATCATGTGTCACCGTTCAATGACAGGTCTGACATCTACCAAATAAATATTTTTAATGTGATCCCAAGTTTGGTAAATTTATCAAATAACGAGTACATCTATTGCGCACGTACGTACGCTTACCCCCAATACTAACGCTTAATGGAAAGCTATGCGTAGCTGACCGGCTTTACTTATTCGCGAGTAATACAAACCCCCCAAAAATAATCAATAAATAGCCTTATTATCCTAAAACATCACGTGATTACATTAGGACCATCGTTATTGATACTTATAAGGTATTTTCCTTTTTTGGGGACCATCATCTGATATAAACGATCACAAAAATAACCGTAAAATGAGGCTGAAAATTGGCATTATCCGTAAATTGATTATACGTACGCATAATGATAAGAGCACAATCGGCTCTACAAATTAAGTGAGACATGTTATATCGATATGAATTTCAAATTCTTCCAGTTAAAAATCCCACGCTATTTATATATTACTAATGCTAATTCGGTACATACACTCGTGTAACCTTAGTAACGTCATTCGCGAAGTTCTGTGCAATGCACCATCCTTATATTGATGCATCTAATGTATCATAATCGCTGGTCTTATAGGACTACGGTCTTATCATAGAGAATTGCATAGCAAAGACTGAGAAATACAGTAATAGATTTCATACATGACAAATGACCAGTAAAACCATTTTTTATGACCAATTTGTCATTATTAAACGGAATAAGATTATTAAACGAAGATTAATTATAAAACTTTACCGTATGCTTACTTCAAATATACAAATATAGTTTCAGTATATGCACCACAAAAAGGTCGAAATCGCAATTTTGATCACTCCTAAATCGTAATCTTGACAGTTAGGAGTCCAACCATTTCATTTTGACCTATCATGGCATTAATTGATAAAATTAACATTTGAGGTATTTCAGATATCGAGAGCAATCTTTATAGTAATGACAGAATCCGTTCCTACGTATATATAACAAGTCTCTTATCATTCTTATATATATTAAGAATATATATATATTTAAGAATAGAAAGCTTACCGTTACGTATTAAGGTTTGAATATCTTGTTAGTCAGTTAGTCAGTTAGTCATATGATTTTTAAAATCACAATGCTCTCTATTTCAGGAATTATTCAATGAATGTTATCTTTCGGTGACCTTTTATTCGCACGATCCCATGATACCTATTTTTCACTTGATAAGTATGGTGGCTGCATATAAATGTTTACACAAAACCTTAAAGACATAGTTTTTGTTTGTTAAATAATACGTATTATATTATTTATATATTTAATATTATCTTTATATGTATATAATATATTATTTTATTGATTAGTTTTTCCATAAAAGCGTGAGAAAAAATACGTACATCCTCACGTTATAATTTAATGGTACGAGGATTAATTATCACTGATCTCTATATATAAATAATAATAGAAAAAATAATACTCTCTATTTGGCACGGGGAAATTTCAATATATATATCTCTTTCGTTTAAAATCTGCTATACTTTGTAAAATGAATGTAAAAATGAAATCGGGTTATTTACTTTCTATCTCTCAAAGCTATTTCCGTTATGCCACACATCATAATCAAGTTCGTCGTTTACAATCCATTGCTTTAAGACGTGAAGATAAAAGTCATTGGGAACGTCGTGTGGCTTTAACGCCAGATACTGTTTCTAGATTAATAAAAGAAACTGGTGTTAAAATATATGTTCAGCCATGCAATAAACGAATATTTAACGATAATAAATTCATAAATGTAATAATATATTTTATGATTCTTTCAATTTTAATAGGTTTAATCAAATGCTTTCTTCTAAATTGAGATTTATATATAGCTAACTATTATACTTCTTCTTAGGCCGGAGCAATTGTTCAGGAAGATATCTCAAACGCTGATGTTATTTTGGGAATCAAAGAAGTTCCAACAAACCATCTGATTCCAAATAAAACTTATATGTTCTTTTCTCATACTCATAAAGGCCAGTTATATAACATGCCTATGTTACAAGACATACTTGATAAGGTAGCATGAAATATTTTGATACGTATAGATACGTATAAAATGTTTAAAACGACCCTACTTAATTATAGAAAATTTGGTTAATTGATGATTATCTTGTAGAAAATTAGGTTAATTGATTATGAATTAATGACAGATGCACAAAAACGGCGCCTAGTTTTATTTGGAACGCATGCTGGTTATGCTGGTAGGTAAAAAATAATTGTCTATTATTATTACTAGTTTTTTTTTTTATTAATAACAATTTCGAAATATCGAAATGCGAAATAGGAATGATCGATGGACTTCATGGTTTGGGACGAAGACTTCTAGGCTTGGGCTATAATACTCCATTTATGGTATATTATATATCAATTTATATAATCAATTTATAAATACTGTAACTTATCTATTTTTATATATGTATTTTTTATATATTTTATATATTTTATATATTTGTAGCATATCGCTATGTCTCATACGTACAAGTCTCTAGAATTGGCAAAGTCTGCTGTTAAAGATATAGGTGACGCAATTGCCGATGACGGCCTTCCAGATGATTTCAATCCTATGACTTTTGTCTTTACTGGAACTGGCAACGTTTCTAATGTAAATAAATATATTTCTTTAAATGTTTAATCTTTTTAAATATTTGTTTATTTAAACTAATATCTATTATCTATTAATAGGGTGTGCAAGAAATATTTAAATGGCTGCCACACGAATATATTAAAGTAAAAGACTTGCAAGAATGTGTCAAGACACCTCGTATGTATTTCTCATAAAATAACTTGTAAGATTTTTCAATTACTCATTTTACGTATTTTATATTTTAGATAAATATAGCAATCGTAAAGTATATGGATGTCAAGTGTATCTTGAAGACTATTTAATTGATACAAGGACCAGAACTTTTGGCACAAAATATGATTATTACAAAAATCCTGGTTACTATCAATCACTATTTCATACAAAGGTAATAGTCAATTATCGCTCATCATGTTAATATTCGTTTTTACTCACTGCGACTTCATCATAGATTGCTCCGTACACGTCAATGCTTATTCATGGTTCCTATTGGGACTCTCGATATCCTCGACTTATTACCAAGGATCAACTTCGCGAGATACAAGAAAATTCTAATAACCGCAGATTGTTGTGCATTGCTGATATAAGTTGTGATATTGAGGTATGTCAATTTTAAAAGGCTCCCTTATTTGTTCTTATTTATTTTATTTATTCTTATTTATTCTTATTTATTCTTATTTATTCTTATTTGTGAAATTTAATGCAATTAAAATTTTCTTGTCTTATTAGGGCGCTTTAGAATTTTCCCATTCAACAACCATCGATGATCCATTCTTTTATGTAGATGCTGTCAAAAATGTGGAACATAAAAAGTATGCAAATATATATTTATATTATACTTACAAAGTCCTCGATTCTGACTTTACTTTTTACATATGCATTAGGGACGAAGGTAAAGGGACACAGATCATGGCTGTAGATATTTTGCCTACTGAAATTCCTCGTGAAAGTAGTGAGCATTTCAGCAGGTCACTCTATCCATTTATGAAAGATTTGGTTTGTTCAATTATGATTTATTATTATTATGGATTTCATATAATTATTCTAATTACTAATAATAATAATAATAACTCATATAGATCAATGGAACCATCGATGACAATCCAGTGCTCTTTAATGCCACTATCGCAAAAGAAGGTCGGCTTATGGATGCACACTCTAAATTACATGATTTTTTACCAAGAAATTATTTATCTCGAGAAAACAACTTTATTTCGCCTTTTGTTGGCAAGCCGATGATCTCGGACAATTCTTCATTAGGAAATCAAAATATATCAATTTAATTTAATTTATTTCAATATATTTTCTTTTTACTAGTGGCAGCGCAGTAGACGAGAATAATATTGTAATATTATGTACTGTTTTGTGTGACTATTGTGTCATCAAATCCCAAATTAAATATGTATTTAAGGGTAGGGTGTACATAGATCATTTTTCATATGATCTGCATGGTACATTGAATTTTTACATAGTAAATAAA